CTGCAAGATCTTGTGGAACATGACTGTTATGAGATTAAGCTGGTATTAATCTCATAAAGCAGGGTTCTTTACAGTTGTCATTTGTAATCATCAAAATTAAACAAAATAAACATTTGAAATATATGAGTTTGTATGTAATGTATGAATATAATATACAAGTTTCACTTTTTAAATGGAATTACTGAAATAAATCTACTTTTTCATGATATTCTAATTTTATGACCAGCACCTGTAGATACACATTGCATAAGATATCTGCTAAAAACCACTGTTGAAGTCAATCCTGTTTGTCTATTAGCAAAATATCCCATGAATCACTTTGATTGTAACGAAACTTTTAGAAAATACTTTTATCTGTGCATCTGCAACTGTCCCCAATAAAGATGGCAGCTATAGCTGGGGGGACAGAAAGTGTTCATCTATCCTGTTCTGGGTGTGAAGCTGTGAGGCGGGGGTGGATCTACGCCCCCCTGCTGCCCCGCTACTTTTATGTTTCTGATTGTTAGATCAAAAGCCTATTAAAGCCTTAAAATAAATATTTCTTTACCAAAAATATATAAGTGTAAATATAATCTGAGGCCCCTGAAAAACATAGTTATGGCCCTGCATCAAACACTGCCTGCCTGCCGCTCTGCAGGCGGAACATGTGTCACATTGACGAGGCAGTCTGTCTGCTGCAGAGTGGAGTCACTGAGCTTCCAACTTCCTGCAGGTAAAGTTTTTCTAGCTGATGTTTTATAAAACAACAGTAAACTCCACTTAAGTTTGCAATGAAGCTGCCAAAGTGGCCGACGTTCATGGTGTAATGACGACAGAGACTTAGCGTTAGCTTATATAAAATATATATACGATATATAAAAATAACTATAACTAAAAATATAACTAAAAGTTATTGTTTCTTAGAAGAGAAAAATGACACAATAAATAGTTTTAAAGTGTTTTTGTAGATGTTTTGTTGACGCCATCCTGCCTAGAGCTTTTGCCCCCCAATGGAAACTTTTCTAGATGCGCCACTGTGTGAGGCGACCTGTGGATGGAGCGGGTCTGGTGCTCCTTGGTTTCCCCGAAGCCCATCAGAGGTTTGACAGAGGCTCTGTACTGCTGCAGCCCGCCTGGGATTCCAAGGACTCCAGAATCCACTGCATCTGTGGTGAGGATGGGAGGGGCGCTGCACAGGGAGGAGGAGATCCTGAGCCGAACTCCTCTTTCCTGCGGGGAGGAGGAGTAAGACTCAGAGTACTGGGCTCCTTCGTCTTTACGCAGCACCAAGGCCGTGCTTTTACTGCTGCCGAGGTCTGCATCTGAATCTAACACACACACACACACACACACACACACACACACACACACACACACACACNCACACACACACACACACACACACACACACACACACACACACACACACATACACACACACACACACACACGGGAACACACAGTTTAGATGTGAACAAAAACACAAAAATATAAATAACAGTGGTATCATTTAGTCATTTAGTAGATGTTACTGAATGTCACTGAATAAATAAAATATCAAAGTAGGTTTTAGGCTACATATGTCAAACTCAAGGCCTGCGGGCTAAATGTGGCCTTCCACCACATTTTATGCGGACCGCGTCACCTTCAAAGATGTATTAATGTCTTAAAATAAGCATACACTGCTTTAAATCCATAAAGCACATTTCCCATAATGCATGTCAGTTATTTTACCAGATACCACAAATAATGGTGGCCCTGGTGTGGTTTGTCAGAGGTGGTCAAGCATGGGCCAGAACCACATAAACCAAACCACAACTGGGCCTGTTGTGGCATGTCATTGTAAAAACAGTGCCATCATTGCCAGAACTGGCCCAGACCTGTCTGCTACTGTATGTGGTTTGTGTTATAATCTGATTAGCTGTGCCTGCCATCTTTACTTGCATCAACTTCATTAGTTTGTCAGTTGTGTTGTTGGGCTAGGGTTTTCTTAAATTCTGTCCAGTGGTTCATGGAATATTATGCTAACAAGCAGTGAAACAAACACAGATATGCCCATTTTTCACCTTTCAGTGACGATTATGAAAATATCAAACTGTGACGCCATTTAGCTTGAGTTTGAAACCGGAGAACACAATGATGATGGAGGTTAAAGACCCTACAAGTGTCTCACCAGGTCGGATGTCTCTTCTCTCCAGAATAGCACTGGTGCTGGTGGTGCTGGTACCAGGACCGCTGGACTGGCCTCCCCCTGAGAGCTGGTTACTGGGTAATGCAGAGCTGCCTGGGTCAACAACTCTTTTCCCTCCATGTGTACCCCATCCACCATATGCCATCCTGGATGGGGAGGAGGGCATGGAGCGGACCAAGGGAGGAGACATAGATCCCTGCAGGCCTTGCAGTGTGCTGCGGCCTGATGACCTCCTGTGGACTGGACTGTGGCGGCCGTACAACACCTCTTTAGAAATCTGTAAAAAACAAAAATATGATCAACCACTGGATGGATTTCATAAAAACTCTCAGAAATTATTCATAAGATATACATTTATAATTGATTAAAGGGATCCACGATTAGTTGTAACATTAGACTTTATTTGATAAACATTTATTTTAGCTGTAAAATAAAGACTGTAAAAATATTGTCAGCTGTTTAGTTTTGTAAATTTTTGAAAATGTATTTTAACACGGATGGAGCCATTTTATTTACATGCAAAGCATTCTGGGTAAATTATGACGTGGATAGGTCCTCGGTGTGAGCGAGCTATACCCACCCTGAAGGTTAATCTTGGACAATATCTGATGATTGACTTGTTTTTAATTCAGTTTCAATTCAATTCAGTTTATTTATATAGTGCCAAGTCACAACATACATTGTCTCAGGGCACTGTGCTGTTTTAAATGAAACCAGAGAGCGTTGACAGAGAGGAGAAGGCAGAAACAATAAAGTCTATAACTGAAAATATGGATGGAGGACAAGAGAGCTGCTTCATGGAAGAAGAACCTCAGCTTAGCCTGTTAGTCTTTGCGCTAGTGCCGACACTATATTGCCTGATATGTATTAGCTCGGCGTTAGCACAACAAACTGACAAGCTAAACTGAGGTCCTCCATCCATATTTTCAGTCACAGGCTGAGTCATTTCTACCTTCTCCTCTCTGTCAACGCTCTCTGGTTTCATTTAAAAGAGTCGATCATCAGATATTGTCCAAGATTAACCTTCAGGGTGGATATAGCTCGCTAGCAGCCTCGCACCGAGGACCTATCCACGTCATCATTTACCCAGAATGCTTTGCGTGTAAATAAAATGGCCCCATCAGTCTAATATATTTTTAAAGTTTTAGTTTAAAAATTATAAAACCTAGACAGCCTACATTATTTTTACAGTCTTTATTTTACAGTCAAAATATATGTTTATCAAATAAAGTCTAATGTTACAACTAATCATGGATCCCTTTAACACTTCATGTGTTGGAGTTTTAGTTTGTTTCTAAAATCTTCTTTGTTGATTGTTTTGGAGAAAATACTGAAGATGTTAAAAAATGCTGCATGTTAAAAATTGAAGGCAGAATAAGTCAAGCTTCAATCAAGTTTTTCCACAATATGAATTATGATTTGCCAATTTCATCACTGAACCCAATTCATTCATTTGCTGTAACAGCTATGATCCGTTTTCACAGACACACACACATACTAGTTTTTCTATCCTCATGTGGAATTTATGTTGATTTCATATGTCATGTTAGGGACCAAAGCTTTGGTCCACAGAGTGAGTCCTCAAAAGGCTGTGTGTTCTGGGAAAAACTGCCAAAATTAATAAACACAAAGGAAGAAATACACACATATCCTTGACTTTCTCATTTACAGGATCACAAATACATACTCATTTACCCACTTTTTGGGGACACACATACACACATATACTTGTCTATGCCTTTCATGTGACCCATGTTCACAAAAACCCTATACTTGGGACCAATGTTCACAAAAGCCTATTATCCATTATAGAATCAATACTCAGCTTGACCTGTCTGGAAATACCACTGAGGTGGATCCAAAAGCATGGTTGGAACAAAAACTGAGACACATTTGGCCGACCCTGAATTGATGAGAAACACTTATAGGCACACCCATGGAGAAAGAGCTGAAACAATGCTGCGACACAAGGCAGTCAAACGGATCTTATAAAATCTCCACATCCTGCTAATAATCTGTGGTACACAAGGTCGACAGGATGCTGGAAACAGCATGAGCCAAAATTGACAGACATAAACAGGCTTGGACCCCGGTCATAACTGGTTTGCAGTTTTAGTTTTTTGTTGTTGCTTTCAGGAAAGAAATATTCAAATACAAAAATAGCTCTAATTTAGTCAAACTTACAGAGTTTGAGCTAAATTTGGTGTGGCCTTACCTGAGAGTCATCCCCAATATTTCCTTACATCAAAGAAAAATGTTTGGCCACCCCAACAGTTGTTTTGCCAGAAACATTTTGACAAAGCTATTTTTATACAGAGACTGTTTTTTAAACTGCACTGCTCCAACAGGTAATTCTCACGATGCAATTCTACATATTAGTCACTGCCCATGTCAGTAAATGAGAGAATGATGAAGAAACATGATTAGATCCTCAGCAAAGTTACCAGTGGTCCCAGTCTGGCTCCTCCACACATCTCACAACAGCACAAGATCAAACATAACATCATTACTAAAGTTTGCTCAAAACAGCTGAAACTCCCTTTTTATCATAAGATGCTCTTAGTCTAAAACTCTACGTTGAAATGCAGCAGGTGAAATGCATTTCTTCATGAAATGACAGAACTTTAGAGTATTTATTACAAATTTAATCACATATGAAGCAGCCTGTGTTGTTTGGTGTATGTTAACTGGACTCACCCGTCCCTCAGCGTTAGCATGTCTGTTGAAGACCTGCGCTGGGTCTTTATGATAAGCCTTCAGACAGGAAGAAGAGGTGATGTTTCTGCAAACAAGCAGAAAGAAAGTCAGGTTATATTTTCAGTGTATTTGAAATATTATTTAAACAATGCTGAATGATTGAACCAACTAATCTTTACTGACCTGCCTCATAGCAATGCCACTCCAGGTTTAATATAAAAACAACTGAAGATGCAGATTAGAGGCCAAAACTTGCAAATAAAAACTGGATTCAGAATATTTATCAAAGTTATAAATACATGCTGGTGGAGATAAAGTCTATTGAAGTGTAATTCTTTGATACAGATTGCAAGACTCTGAACCAATCATAATTATAATCTTTTTTTATCAACAGTTAAAGTAATGATTAACAATGTTAAGAACATTTTATTATTATGTTGCTGATTGATGATGTTTTGCTCCTTGTTACTGATGAAACCGTGTTACTGTTATTTGGAGGTTTTATTGTTTGGGTTTTGTTTTTCAGTTAAATTTTCTTGGTTTGCTTTTAGATTTGGGTGTGTTAGTGGTATTTTTCAGGAAGGAGAAGCCTGACATGTGCTTTTATTTTGTTTATGCCTTTTTCGTAGTAAGGCATATTGTGTCACTTCCTGTTTGCTCAGCTAGCAGCTTGAATCTTTAAATTTTCTGGACCTACCTGACTTTCGCATTTTTTTGTGCTAGTACACAGTCACTATTTACGTTGTTTTCTATGATTGTGTTGTGCTTGGAGCACCTTTTGTCTTTCAGCACTTCTTGTTTTTTTGTTGTGTTTGACGTCTGTTCCATGTGTCAAATGTTTAGCTATTCCTCCACCAGCTTTAAGACTAGCTACAGCTAACAGAAACCAAACACTTCTATAAAACCTACAGGTGTTGAAAGACAAAAGGTGCCTAAAGCACATTACAAATGTAGAAAACAATTTTATATATACAGAGTGATTGTGTTTTAGTGTCAAAAAATAGTATGAAAGTCAGATAAATCCAATAAAATAAAAGATTTCGTGAGGAAACAATTAACAGCTCAGCAGGGAAACAGGAAGTAACTCACTAAAGAGGGCCGCCTCCCCATGTTCACATCCTGTTTCAGAGGCACCCCTGCTTCAACATAACTGATTTTAATAAATTATCATTAAGTTCTGTGCATCAACACACCTGACGTCCTCCAGGTTGTAGTAAATGTTACGGTTGGTGTCCTTGATGTAGATGGCCATGTTGGGAGACTGTAACATCTTCATGTTGAGCTGGTCGGGAAACGCAATGACAAACAGAGCCCGCACAGAGTCCTGACAGCTGATTTCCTCCGGTGGTGGCATCCGGACCAGCTTTGTCTCCTCTCCATACTGCAGGTATAACACACCTGCACAACACACCGAGGCAATAAAATATACAGTTTAACAGCACATACAGTAATCTGACTCCGTCTGTATCTTGCAAAGAGACATGGCTGCTCAAAATGATCTTGTGGCCATGCATTGACTAACATGTGGCCTTGAGTTAATGTCTTTACCTTTAGGCCTGTCTCGTGTTTGACTTAAGCGACCTGCAGGGAGACTTGATCTGGATCTGCAGCCTCGTAGAAAGTGGGCTGAAGGAGACATCACCTCTTCATCAGCCATGATCTCCAAAGCCAGGGGGTCCTGTTCCTCCACCAAACCCACCACACCTGAGGACTGGATACTCCTCACCTGGACAGAATTAAAAATAGAGACTCCTCAGCTGTACAGAAATATAGAAAACGAAGCACTGAGGAACCTTGATAGAAATATTTGTTTGAAACAGACTTGCCTGCCAGGTGTTGCCCTGGTTACCAGATTGTAATTTCCTGTAATCTGATGTAAAAACACTTAATTTTGACTTACAATCACTGTAACAATTGATCCAAAGGCTAAATAAGAGGCTGTAGTGCAGATAGTTTTCACTCATGGTGCTTATTTTATCTATGAATTATATTAAGATGAAACATGAAATACAAATAACTACAAGAGACATTTAGATTAAATTTAAGTACACATGTAGATTTATACAAGATAGTACACATTTTTTAATCAATTTATGAAATGTCCCAGGAGCCTTTGCTGACCGAGCGTACGTCAAACTTTCTTCAAGTGCACACACACACACACACACACACACACACACACACACACACACACACACAC